TAGTAGTAGTAGTAGTACTAGTAGAGAATAGTACTAGTGACACTTGTCGTAAGAGAGCACCAGTAAATAATTGGTAATGTAAGTAACAATAACACTAATGACAGTAGTCGTAATGCGTAGCAATAATACTGAGATTAGTATTAATAACAGGAATGGAACAAGGACTGGTAATGGTAACAATAAGAGTACAAGTAGTAGTGGTAGTCATAGTAACAGTCATAGTCATAGTCATCGTGGTAGTAGTAACAATAGTGACTGTGACAGTAATTGTAATAGTACTGGGAAGGGTAATGGTAGTAGAAATAGTAATGCGGCAGTTGATAGTAATAGAAATAGTGTTAGTAACAGCAATAGCAATTTTGACAGTAATGGTAACAGTAGTAGTAATAGTAAGAGTAAGAACCATAGTACTAGCACTAGAACTTGTATTAGTACTAGTTATAGTAACAGCAATGGCAATAACAACAGTCATAGTCATAGTCATAGTCATAGAAGCAGTATTGCTAGTGGCAATTATCGACGTAATAACAATTGGTAATAGCATGATTATGACGTAATAACTCTAGTACCAATAGTGTCCGTTAGCACCAATTTTATCAGTCGTAGTAACAATAAGAGCAATACTGTTCTCTGGATTCACAATAAAAATAATGTGTTGTGACTTGTCATACTGGAGTGTCCTGTTTTGACATAATAACATTTCAGGGCAATAACCATCGTAGTAATCATAGCGCTACACACAGTATTGTTACCCAGGAGTACTGATATCAATGCTAGTCACAATAACAGTAACACCCATAGTGAATATTGCTAGTAAGTGACACTATAATAAGTTTGGCAAAGGAAGTTACTCGTAGTAGTAATAGTGATTGATACGGTCCTGAGAGCGTTTTGTGCTTATCTTGTAGGTCGGTTCTTCGCGAGCGAACCGCACTTTGGTCGGCACGACTTCGAAAGGCTAGGCCTGCAATGATGCCATCCTGTCGCCGTGCAGGCCAGCATCGACGTTTCGGCCCAGGTAGGATTGTTTGATGTGCTCGACGCAGATGCGGGAGGAGAGCTAAGTGTGCATGAGCTGCTTGGCTTCAGCTTTCAGTGTTTTTAGAGCTTAGCGGCTAAGGCTACCATTTTCGCTTTCACTGCAAGAAGAAGAATTTGCAGCGGTCGTCGTCGTTGTCGTGTTTGGTCATCGTCGCAGCAGTAGAACAGCATAGATATTGAGACACAAGTCACACTGATGATATAGCTAGTAGTAGCAGTCATCACGGTGCCATCTGTCAGATGTCTGTTTCTCGCTGATATCTCGATGATTGGATTGTATGGCGCAAGCAGTGGACCGAGATGAGGATCAAGCCCCAAACCCCCAAGCTTGCCACCTTGCATCTCCGACTCTGAGCCTAGACATTCTGGCATCGTCATCATCCCTGTTCTCGGCTTCTCATTCACAGTTTTTTGCTCTCCGTTCTGTGCCTAAGGCTGGTCACTGGTCTCATGAGCCTTCGCGGGCCCGTCACAAAGGGTGATGCAGCCAAGCAAAATTTCGGGGATCTTCGGGGTGGAATTCAGGGCCGTCTCTCTGCGGTCATGGAGCTGCAATGTTCGAGCGTTTTTTCGGCTTGAGGAGCTTAGGGCGTTTAGGGTTTTGCCAGTTTCGGCTGTAGGGTTGCGAGTTCTTGGTTGAGTTTCGGAGCCAAGGACAACTTGCTCAACATCACTGTTTCCCTCATCCCTCTACATCTATGTGCTGCAGCTGAGGTAATTGGGATGAGTTTGAAGATTCGCTACCTGGTGAGCATGCTGCTAGGCCACAGAATCGGTAAAGACCTTCCGTTTCGACTATGCACCGCAAATGGTTTAGGGTTTGGGGTTTGGGCAAAAACCCTATGAAGGCCTAAGCACTCGGGATCTAGGGAGCCACCACAAAGACGCCGAAAGCCCGCGACAAGATATTTTACTGTAGAAGCTTGAATGATTAGAAATATTATTCCTTAGGGTTCCTTGTGAAAGTTATACGGAATTTGCCTTCAAATCTCATACTAACTATTAAGGCCCCTATATTATCCCTTACCGGCCCGGTCTCTCGGTGCACAGGATGGAGGCTTCGCAGATATCTTTTGCCATCTAGCGCGGGATGCACTCTGAAGCCTTTTTCTGAGAGGCGCAGCTACGGATAAGAGCCCAGCGCGCTTGTTTCGTGGCGTTTGGCCTGCATGCACTGTACAGTGTAGAGGCGAGGCGGGCTTCCACAGTTCCGATGACCCCGCGCCGCAAAGCGGTGGGCAATGTTTCTTGTTTGAAACGAGCTTTCTGCAAGTAATGTATAGGGGCCTTAATAGTTACCTGTACTATTTTTGGGGTTCCTTATTGTAGTTACAGTATAATATACCCCAAAACCCTATTCTAATTATTAAGCCCCCTACATTAGACGACGGCCTTGCTTGGGCCGACGTCCTCCAGCATCTTCAAGCTGCCCACCGGATCTGTCGCCGAGCCGGCTGGCCTTTCCAAGCGCAGGAGTTCATCGTGGGCTGCTTCACTACCTTTGGGGCATATGATCTGGTTTGAACTAGTATAAATTACATATAATGAAATCCAATATGCCATGATATAAAGTCGGCTTTAAGGCCTAGGATTTAGTAAGCGAGGGTCGTGCATAGAGCCACCTAAAACAACATCTGCAGAGTCCTCTCAGTCTCCCCCACGCCCTAAGCCCTCACCCCTAGCAACCCAAATCTCCCCCTGCCTCGATGAACTCCGACGTGTTGCCAGCTGACAGGCGTCTCTGAACCGAGGCAGCGCGCAGGAAAAAAAAGTAGTCTTGTAGCATAGCTGTAATACAATGTAAAGTGATGTAATACAATGCAACACACTATACTACACTTTCCTGTTAGAATATAAAGTAATATAATGAAATCTAATATACTATGATGTATTATAACATAATTCCGTATTATGTAATATAGTACAATACGTTATGATACAAAATAGTACCATATAATACAATATAACTCAGTATAATCTAGTATAGCCTAATATAATATAGTATAACTTAGTATCATATACAATAATACAATGTAATATTGTCAAATCTAACACCAACAAATCCAGCAACTAAGCCTGGGACTAACGGACCCTACACCTGGTTTAGGGTTTAGGGTGTAGGGTTTAAGGTTAGGGTGTAGGGCTTTGGGTTTAAGATACAAAATCCTAAACAAAGCCTACAATACATACAGACGGGTTTGTGCAGAGAGCTGTTTAGAAAGGGATGTCCGAACTTGGTCTAGGACGTGTTCACCAACATGATGGTTTGCGGCTTAAGGTTCAGGGACCCTCAACCCTAAACCCTAGATCCTAAACCGCCTAAACCCTAAACAAGCTCTACATCCTAAGCCGCAAGACTCATATCCCAAAGCTCTGAAGCTCCGCAGAGGCCCTCTTATCACGAGGCTACTGCTACCTAGCCTCTGGCGCAGAGGACGTGTTGAAGTTCTTGTGGTTCGGGGCATGGTAGCTTCCAGTGCCTTCCCCACAATCCCTAGACCCCTGAACCCTAAACCCCAAACCCAACCAGGGGACCTGAGCCTTTTGCTTCTCGTCATTGAGACCTGAAGCACGCAAGTCGTCGTGTGTTTCCCTTTTTGCAGTCTCCTACCCTCACTGGAGTTCTCAGACTTGATCAACAGCCCAAAAACTCCGGAAAGTGCTTTTGCATGACCTCAATTGGCGGTTCCTTGTTCGTCCTTTTCCTTTGTTCTCATTTTCAAGCTAAGCACAAAACAACCCTAAACGTCCATGCCCAACACCCAAACCCTAAACCCCAAAGGCCTTGAACACCCGTACACCCTAAACCCTAAACACCCAAAACAACCCTAAACCCCTAAACCCCTAAACCCCCAAAGTAGGAGCGGGCGCAGCGTGACTTTGCGGAAGTCATCCACAAGGAGCGAATTCGAGACCTGGGTTTGCGGGTTTTGGGGTTTCGGGTTTAGGAGTTCGGGTGTTTAGGGTTTCGGGTTTAGGATTTTGGGAGATTAGGAGTTTAGGGGTTTGGGGTTTAGGATTGTAAGGGTTTGTATTGTTGTAAATTTAAGGTTTAGGGCTTAATGGGGATGCATGCACAGATAAAATGCCGAAGGCCCCAAACAGCCACACAGACCCAAGAACCCAAGCCTTTAGTTTTTCAAACCCTGAGCCGAAAGACTTGGCAGCACGAAGAATGTGAAACTCCTGAACCTGAACCCTAAACCCTAAACCCTAAACCTGAAACCCTAAACCCTAAACCTGACACCCCAGAGCCCTGAGACCTGTTGCAGGGTTGGGTTCCGGCTTGCTCAGTTAGGGATCAGAGTGGACGATTCTTTTACCAGGTGAAGGCATCGGTATCGAGTCAACACATACTCGTACCAACAAGGCCATGTCAAGACTTTGTAGAACTAGTTATAACTAGTTAGTACGCACCTGTATGTAGACGTTTATTTGTTTATCTGTCTATCTCCGTGTCTGTTTGCCTGCCTGCCTGCCTGCCTGCCTGCCTGCCTATCTGCTTACCTGCTTGTTGGTCTGCCTCTTTGTCTGTCTGCGGTCGCCCTCTGTCTGCCTGTCTGTCTGCCTGTCTGTCTGCCTGTCTGTCTGTCTGTCTGTCTGGCTGGCTCTCGCTGTCTCTCTGCCTCTCACTCTCGCTCTCGTTCTCTCTCGTTCTCGCTCTCTCCCTACCCTACTACCGACCTACCTCGCCTACCCTCCACCACCTGCCACCCACCTACCCACCTACGCACCCACCTACCCACCCACCCACCTGCACCTCCTGCCTTCCTAGCACCTTTATTTATTATCTAGCTACCTACTTACTACCTAACACCTAACCTACCTACCACCAACCTACCTACCTACCTACCTGCCTACCTGCCTACCTGCCTACCTGCCTACCTGCCTACCTGCCTGCCTGCCTACCTGCCTACCTGCCTACCTTACTACCTTACTACCTTACTACCTTACTACCTTACCTACCTACCTCTCCCGACCTACCGACCTACCGACCTGCCGACCTGCCCACCTACCGACCTACCGACCTACCGACCTACCAACCTACCAACCTACCAACTTAACCTACCAACTTAACCTACCAACTTAACCTACCAACTTAACTAACCTACCAACCTACCAACCTACCAACCTGCCAACCTGCCAACCTACCAACCTACCAACCTACCAACCTACCAACCTACCAACCTACCAACCTACCAACCTACCAACCTACCAACCTACCAACCTCCCAACCTCCCAACCT